CTAGAGTGATCACCGGAAACAACTAGGGACTGGGAAGTTTGGGTTTCTAGGCATTACACGGATTTACACGGATGGGACTGGGGGCAGAACGGGCTGCAGGCGACGGAGCGCATTTATCCAACTGCTGGGAGGGTGATGAGGGTGGCGACAGTTCGGAGTAATTCCTCTTGACGTGATACCAGATGCGTGTCACAATCAATTTGCGGATGCGATCTCCTCGGTGATAATGTTCCGAAGGTGCACCACATGAATGTTTTCCCAAGCTCAAAGGTGTCTCATTTTGTATGCATACGTCTGGCAGATAATGAATTGGGCTACTGGGGTTGTCACAATGCCTTCACGACCAGAGAGGACCTCTATAAACATAACCCGCAGCTCTGGGAGACAGTCTGCACTTGTATAATGATCTTTATCTCCATTCTTCTTGCATTTATATATCTTCGGGGCACATTTCTTTTCACCATTACAACCACATAAATTCACATTTTGTGGGGGATTGAAAGTAGGCAATAAAATGGTAATACACTTTCAGAATTTGCGATAACATCATGTTTTAGGATCAGATGCTAATACACATCTCCTCTGCATATCAAAGACAATGAATAGAAATTGCAAATCAAGAATCATTCATATATCACCAAAGACAAACCCTACAATAAATCTCATCAACTCTAAATGTTTTTTCTTTATGACTTAATTTGCATTTTGCATCACTCCTTCAATCAAACAAAACAACCTTTTTAATTAAAAGAAAGGATACTTAATGGTCTAATTCAAATAACCCTGGCAACATATATCTATAAATGACATTTTCAAAACATTATGCAGCAACAAAACACCAAAATTCCATTTCAGAAAGCAGATATTGAAGCCTAAACCAACACAACGAGCACCTAAAGCACTCGAATCCCCAAATTTTAATTTTGGACACCTACAATTTCAAATTTTAACAGGGACCCCATGCCAACAGACCAAAATTTCAATTTAATCTCTATGGAGAGAGGGGGGGGGTAAGTCTGGAGCCCTTCAAAAGCATTTAAAATCTACCTATCTATCCCGTCAATGATGGCGATGAAAAGGATGATGATGATGGGGAGAACCCGAAGAATGCAGGACAGCTAGCGTAGATCGAGCGCACTTGCTCGTTCATTGACAGATCTCCCATCAATTAAAGGTCAAAACCCTGGTGTGATGGGTTTACGTTAGCATTACGCTACCAAAACAACAGGACTTTCATCCTCTATAATAACAGAAATGGGTTGCTTGTTTGGTTCTCTGCAGGCTCCTCAGGGTGTAAGGAAAAGTTCATGACCAATGATCGCTTGCTTGATCCAGATAGGAAGTTACGCATTATAAGGAGAGTAAACGGCAATCTTAGATGAAACCTACCACCCCCCCCCCACCCTCTCCTCTACCACTCTTCTGATGAAAGCAACTCTAGGACTTTAATACTGTTCATTTATAAAGATAATTATTAAAATGTTCTTGTTTGAATGTATTCAGTGACTGCAAAGAGGGTTTAGGCATCGTTTGTAAAGGGAACTTGATAAAGAATCAGGATTGAATGGTCAGATGAGTGTAAATGGTACACAACCAGGCATTTCTACCAGGAAAAAGAAAATTATCGTTTTCAATGATGCGGGCTGACATATGATCTCTTTCATTATACAGTTATTATGTATGGTTTGTCTCTTTCTTCATACAATGTTGCTTTAAACGATAGTTTCCTACATGGACAATGTAGTCTGAAAGGACTGTAAATTACAAGTAGCATAATGCTATGGTGCTTGTTGAACATCGATCCTGTCCTTTTTCCACAGGATTCACGTAGCTTAGGACTTCAAGTCATATCCTTAGATGTACTGCAACCTTTGAATATGCCTATTTGACAATAATATGATTTGATGTATGCTTGTCCATAATAATCCTGTTAATTCCAGGAAATAATTTCTGCAAAACATGCATAAAGAATAAGGAAGTATAAAATATCTGCTGCTGAATTTAAAATAAAAATAACAATGGTTTAATATATCTACTAAAGGCAAAAAATCACCCAAAACATCATTATGAAAACAACAAATTCAAATTATTGAAAATTTCACAATTCAAATAAGGAGAAAAAGCATGAATAATCTTAAATTGCATAGCAAAAATTAAAACAAAAAACAAAAATTAATAAATCAAATCATTGGTTAGCACTCATTAAAATAAGATGAAATTTACCAAAATTAAGTTTCCAGTTACACAAAATAATATACAAAATAAGTTCTGATCAACATAATGTCAAAATATGCTTCCCATGCTCATAAAACAAAACTTAATTAAAAAACAGAAAATGCATAATCAATTACTCAAGATTATCAATCTTTTAGGAAAAAGTAATCTGGGAATAAACAATAGTAATAGGGATTATCATGGGGTTGTTTTTTAAATATGAAAATAAAAGTATTCTTGTGTATAAAGTTGGCACAGCTGCTGAAGCTCTAAAAACACAACAGCTCCATCTAGTGCCCAAGCCCTGACAGTCATGCAACCCATAACGATAGGGCAGGGAACTCTAGTGGACTTGGTACATGTTATGTATATGTGGGGCAACAGTGGACTACACATTTCTATTTTTCTTCTATATCTTTCAATAAGTTATACATTACACACATAGCTAACAAAGCTACCAAAGTAGAATTAGGATATTCAGGGTTTACGAGTATATAGTACAAATTAATTATTGCAAAGTGCATTGACTAAATTGGGAATGAATATGATGGGGGAATTGTGTTAATCTACATGTTGTGCACACGAGGGAACCCAAATCAAAATCTCTGCTGGAACAAGTTACAAAGCAAACAAAATATATAAAATCATAATTTGAAAAGGGTGATTAAATACAGAGCAAAATCCATGTGAAAACAAAACAAAAAATATGTATTATATTTCATATGTGCAATAAAAACAAGTCTCTAAATGAGAAATGCTAGTACTTACATATACTGTGCATATTTCTGACAACTTTATTATGGAATTAGGAAAAAAAGGGAAGATGTTAAAATTCAAAATATTATCTGCATGTGCACCTACATGTATGTTGCTAAATGTTGCACAAAGAATTCATCAATTATTAAGTTATATTAAGCATGAATGATATTAGGACTCTATTTAATAACTCTCACTGCTAATGACTATTTCTTTGAATGATTATTACATGAATGAGTGACATCTATTTGAAGAATTATGAGAGGGCAAAAGAATTTATGGTGAAAAGAGAAAATAGGCTTCAGAGAAAATGCCGCACACACACAATTAAGTAAACTTTGTATTGACTAGAAAGTCTATTATCATTTCTTAACACCATTTATTCTTACTATTGATATACAAATTGATGAGGACTGACTAGGTTTACCTATAGACGATACAAACTACCACTCTAACATCGCCAGTTTGGTGGCAGAAGGGTACTAACTGTGTGTAAAATGGTGATAAGTTAACGCCCTTCTAGTTTAAAACCAGATTTATCTTACAGTATGTATCCCTCAGTCTTTATTGTCCTTTTTAGAGATCATTTAATGATTGTTGAAACACAACCATACCAACTAACTTTTTGTCAAAAATTATATGAATAAAAAACGGATTTAAAGACATGCTTTAAGTATTGTCAGCTTAATACCAGTTTATTTCTTGAAAGTAAATGTATGTAAAATATAAAATTGTACAGATAACCATACATGACCCAGCAGCCTCCTACATTGTATTATACATCACTAACAATAACCCTTTACCAGCTATCCACAATGTATTAAAAACCAAAAGTCATATTATATGAAAAACTATAGGCTAGGGGAAGGAAAGAACTTACTTCTACTTCTAGGATATAAGCATGGAAAATGGAAAGTATCAAATTTTCTAAGATGTACTAGTAAGCTATTTTAGAAGAACTGCAAGCAGATAGAAAGGTGAGAGTCCCATGTAGAGCAAGATACTTTTTTAGGATTATGCTAATCGCAGTGACCCAAGTCATAAGTGATATCTGCTAAGCGCTAGAATGGCATTAACTCTTATTGATTTTCAGAGTTTAGGCCCCCCTTGCTCTAAAGGAAATGATGTGTGTTCTAAAACTGTGCTGTGCAGAGGAGCACTGCAAACATAGCGTGATGTGAGTGAACTACTGGTGTCTACCGTGTGAGGTATAGTGCAGAGTATGGCTCTACGTGCGCTATACTATCCTAATACAAGAAGGCATAGAGAGAAAGAAAGAGAGAGAAAAAGAGAAAGAGAGAGAGAAAGGGAGAGAGAGAGAGAGAGAAAGAGAGAGAGAGAGAAAGAGAGAGAGAGAGAAAGAGAGAGAGAGAGAAAGAGAGAGAGAGAGAGAGAGAGTCAAAATCAAACCAGAGTAGACAGACAGAAGCTCTATGCAAACGATTTGCAAACTGCATGCTAATAAGTGTGTGAAGAGTTGAAAGGGTACATGTATACCAGAGCACTGCAAATATCTTCAAATAAATGTTTGATGAATATCTATAGATGCGAGAAGGTGCAAGCTACGTGTAGGTGAAAACCTTCCAAAGGTTCTGCATGTTTTGTTTGTTAAACTCTCTGTTATTTAATAGACAAAGGCTGCCAACTAGCTGCCAACTACATCGTGCCAAATTTCATGTTCCCTGAGTTTGCAGCTTGGCAGTCAATTTCGAATAACACAAAGCCATGTTAATGGTTGCAAACTTTCAAATTACATCATTTCATGAATTGCGATGGATGCGTAACTATGGTAACGGATGAATGGAGGTCTAGGGAGGTGAAATGTGAAGTGGACAAGTAGATGTGAGTGCTGCAAGAGCTTAGACCCCGTTCATACAGACGGCGCGACCTGGACCGAAACAGACCAAATCTGGACCAAAGCGGACCGATCTAGACCGAAACGGGACAGCATATGAACAGGGTCTGAGAGAGAAAGGGTTAAAGAGAAAGAAACCAAAAACAAAATCAATCCAAAGCATATAAAAACTCACAGTTATTGTACTTGTCTCTCCTCATGCGATGGTGACCTAAGGGGGGAGGATGGCAAGGATATATGGATTAATAGGGGGGCTTGTGGGGGGAGAGAGAGATTAATGAGGGGGATTAATGAAAGGAGTTGATTTGGGAGGATACACACGATGATTTATGACGCACAAAGTCAGTCTGGATAGTACAGATCAGGCACATACAGTGTATATAACCCCAAACAAGAATTACTCGTATTTTCCCCTTAATACCAGAAGGTATTCTTATTACGATCACACTTGTACGTGCCAATACCTGTAAAATTCTTGAACTTCCAGATGCTATGAACACAGATACACTAGCCTGCAGGCACAGACTCATTTGCGTGTCTTAATTTACATTTTGTTACAACTTTCTTATACAAAATTTCATCTCAATCTTGACAACATTTCATATTTTGTTATGTCAACAACAACAAAAGTTTGGCTGCTAAAACACTACTTGTAGGTGCATTTTCACAATTACAAATTGATTGCAAAAGCTAGTGGTGATTTACACAACACCTGTATAATAATCTACATTTGCGTGTACATTTTGTTAATGACATTCTGGCTCCAAACAGACTATTTCGTCTTTAGGGCACCAGATGGGGGTTAACTCTGTGAAAAAAAAATGTAAGCTAACGCCCTTCTGGCAATAGTAGTTATGGTCTATGATATGAAGAAATGTGGTAGTTTTCAGTCAAGGCTCAGCTCTGTGATGAAGAGAATTTCCGAAAAGGTTTTGTGGCTAGGGGATATCTGCTCTACGTAGTGAAATTCTTAAAGGAGACTATACTTTATCAGCTGGAACCCAGATGCTGCTTGTGTTTAGGTAGAAAGCTTTATCGAGATTAGCATTGAAATATGGGGCAAAAAGAAAGGGGGTATTTGAAGCTGAAGTGAGTGCGCTGGATATTTCTAACCTACTAGGCATACAAAATTATGTAGGTTTGGGGTTTAAATCTGACTGCTTAACAACATTTCTCTTTTCGTTTTGTTGTTGTCTCAATAACGTGCCCTATTTTGTATCAAACCACAGCCACAGCCACACCACTACCACCATCAGCACCACCACCATCATTATCCCCATCATCAACATCATCATCATCATCTTCGTTTCTTAATATTATCTGCATTTTAGGATATAGACCTAGGCATCAATCGTATCAAATTATCTACATGTATGAAACATCCCTACTGAAATTATATTTACATCCACATTCTTGCCCCTCTTTTTTCCTCCCACTGTCCAATCCCACTCCTCCCCCTCTTAGCCCTCCCCCCCCCCCCCCACACACACACACAACCAAGCGCAAGCACACATCCCAAAGGTCACTAGGGGTCACTCACAGTCTAGTTTCACCATGGGTTGGGGTCAAACAGACTAATCTGTCACTCAATGGGTTTGTTTACATAAGGAGACCATGTCTTACATCCATATCATTCACCTTTCATTTGAATGCATTACACAGCGTCTGCACATTGCTGTATGGGTCTAACCGCTTGATTAGTGGTCCATACGCTTAGTACCATCGTCATGTTGACTATGACCTTTGTCATATTGAATATTGACATACTGACTATATCTGCACATTTCTGTATGGGTCTATCTGCTTGATTAATGGTCCATACACTTAGCACCTTTGTCATTATGGACTACGAGAATTAAAGTCAACAACGCAATGCATTATAATGAGATCATGACTCTTTCATCAGATTTGCTCTGCTCACAACGAGTATAGAACATTAGCTACAAACCTTTGTTTGATTTCATTTGTTAACATTTTCATCCTTTAGAGAACATGAATCACATTTTTTAAATTCAATCTCTTTGAATTACAAATATGATTCATCTGAATTCTTACATTCTTAAATTGGTATCTCCTTTTTCTTTCCCAAAATGGGAAATTTGTTTTCTGTATTTACATGTACACAATCAAATAGAATCATTGGCTTTGCTGACGATAACCCATATTTAAAGTTATCCAGAGCTGCCAACACTTTAGGGCATATGGTTGATGAGCAAAAAAAAACAAAAACAACAACAAATTATTTAAAAGTTAAAACACATACTACAGTTATTGGGAGAAAAAAACAGAATCATTCCTGGAAAAACGTAATCGCTGGCAGCTCTGGTTATCCGAGCCAACATACAACACATACATTGACAAGACTGGTGTCTGCGGCCTTGGCCATGCAAAATAAATGTCTAGCTGATCCTGATCCTACCACTAGACATGTCAATAAAAAGCAGTGAATCTGGCAGGGTGTGCATGGTTCTATACACACAGATGGGAATCCATACAAATAACATCTTGATTCAAGTTGCTTGAATGGTTATTGAATTTGATATGCACAGTGGAATACTTTCATTGCCCTCTCCCAGCCTCTCTCTCCCTCTCGTTTGAACTCTCTTTCTTTTTTTCTCTGTCAGCGTCTACCCCTTGCTCAATTTAAACTTTCTTTTTCTCTTCTAGCCTCGTCTCCTCCAAACTCGCTCTTTCTCTCCTACTTTCCAGCCTCTTACCTTTGCTCAAACACTCTCCATTTTTCCTTACAGTTCCCCCTCCCCTCCCTCCCTCTTTCCCTCCCTCCCTTCCCTCCTCCTCCCTCTTTCCCTCCTCCTCCCTTTCCCTCCTCCTTCAACTCCTCCTCTTGCAATCTCTCTCTCTCTCCCTCCTTCTTCCAGTCTCTTGCTCAAACTCCCTTTATCTCTCTCTTTGTCTATCTGCCAATTTCTTTTCTTGGTTCAATCCTTGACATGAACATCTTATTTCTTCCACTTCTTGTTCACACTTCAAATAACAATGTCTATACACAAGGTCATTTCATTTGCTTGTATTGTATATTGTACGTCTTCACTCTTGACAATACTGAACAAATTTTATTCAATTCAATAAAACATGAAACACATCCAACTTGAAAGAGCAGGATTGTAATCCGATTTGTACAAACAATGGGTCACATGCATAACAAGAAAATGTAGGTCTCTCGACAAGGAAATGGGAGGGCATTACACATCTTCCATAACATTGCAGAGAGAAAAAAAATTGATGTAGAGCGTTGTTATCTTTTCATGATTATGCAATCCTACTTACGAGAAGTTTACTTTCTTACATTTCCAAATACAGGCCTTTATGTATGCAATATGCTAAGATCCAAAAAGAAGATAACCTGTTGGAATTTATTCACTCCGACAAGACAGAAACCAGATTGACAACAGACCAAACAAAATATTACATTACTCCAAATGACCCAGGATCGGTCAGATTAGAGTTAGTGTTTCAGTGTGATTGAGGTATTAATTACCTAGATATATTTTATAACTTCCTTCTGGCTTTCAACAAGGCATAGGAGGCCTACATTTTTCACATACACTGACAAATCACAAAGTATCACTCTGTCATTGCTTGCTGTTCAAAGGTTGTTCAACAATTTCATTCAAATAGATATGCTGCAATAACAACACTACGCGTAGCCAGAATTTACGACAAACGAAGCGTTTCTATCTGGCTTGTTTACGAGTGAAGTTCCCCTTCAGCTATGTCATTATTAGAGTCTCCATTTCAGAGAGGGTTCGCGATCATCCCTATCTCATGTTGAAGATGCAATGCTGCCTGTACTTTTTGGTAATCTCGGCGTCTGGGTTTTTATTTATAGGCAAACCGAGTCCAGGAGTGCAGTTGCATCAACATGCCAAATTCCTTTCTGAATATCTACAGGTCCTCTGATGTATGTTACGTGCATATTACAGAGGCATTGCCTGGATTTTTCCATTTGTTGTTTGTGTTTCTTTCCTTCGTTTGTTTACATGTTTTACTTGACAGCTTACAATCCGATTGTTTTACCATCTTACTCCTTTCTCCAAACTTTCTTTCTGCTATTGCCATCACTCCCCCTCACTCTCTCTGTCCCTCTCCCTCTCCCTCTCATATTCCTTGGGGAAGGACCTTTGTATGTTCCACAACAGTTCAAACTCCTGTAGTTTACCATCTCTCCATAGCCACTCCCTCTCCCTCTCCCCTCCCCTCCCCTACCCTCTCTCTCTCTCTCCTTCCTTCCTTCCTTCCTTCCTTCCTTCCTTCCTTCCTTCCTCCCTCCCTCCCTCCCTCCCTCCCTCCCTCCCTCCCTCCCTCCCTCCCTCCCTCCCTCCCTCCCTCCCTCCCTCCCTCCCTCCCTCCCTCCCTCCCTCCCTCCCTCCCTCCCTCCCTCCCTCCCTCCCTCCCTCCCTCCCTCCCTCCCTCCCTCCCTCCCTCCCTCCCTCCCTCCCTCCCTCCCTCCCTCCCTCCCTCCCTCTCTCTCTTTCTCCTGTTCATTTCTAGACTCTTCCAACTTCATATTCTTGTATCCCCTCTCTTTATAGGAATGCAGTAGACCTCAATCATTATGTCAAAGGTCCCAGTTTCCACCCATCATTCATTGTTATTCCATAGGAAAACATCCTTCCATCCAGCCTCAGACATTTCACTCTAAATCTCTATCCCCAAACCAATTTCATTTCCAGTCTCCCTTAAATTATTGTTGCAAGCAAGTATATGCTAATTGCTGTACTTCTTCTCTCTTACAAAAAAAACCCCACCACAACACAAGAATCCCTCCCCCATCTCTCAGACATTTCGCTATCAATCTCTATCCCCAACCCAAACCAATCTTTTATTTCCAGTACCCCTTAAATTATTGTTGCAAGCAACTATATGCTAATCGCTGTACCTCTTCTCTCTTACAAAAAATACCCACCACAACACAACAAGAATCCCTCCCCCATCTCTTCACTCACTTCAGTACTAACCATACAAACATCCAGTTATTTCAAGTACTAATGGTTTCCGTACGCCCCCCTTGGTGGCCGGGCCATTGTTGCGCCCCATCAATCAGTGATCACTACCTTCCACAATGGATCCCCCCCCCCCCCTTGCTATTGTTTGGCGATGGGGTTTACTTGGACCGGCCCTTGCGACAGGCACAAAAGGCAGCTATTCACGACCTGGTTTTTAAGTGGTTGGCAATAGATTTGAGCTGCT